GGGAGAATTGCCTCTGAAGTTCTGGTGGCTCCCAGTTAAATAGTTCTTGTGGTTTTAGGCTGGTCTCCTGGAGAGTACCTTAAGACTGGGTGAAGTAACCTTCTCAGTGTCTTCAGTTTTGTTTGGCTTTCTTTTTTTGGTCCCCTGATTAATTGGGCTAGTAAGGAAGTTCTTGAGGTTTCTTTCTATGCAGGGTATCCTGCAAGCTAGGGGACTCCAGCACAATGGCTGCCCTGACAGTTTCCTCCTGTTGATTCTGGTAGCCAACTGATTTCAGGTATGTGTGGCTTGTTATTTTTTTGTCCATTTGGTGGCATCATAGACTTCTCGCAGTTAGTTTTCTGAACTGGGCTTGTTTAAAGTAGTCTCTGGGAAAGGAGGGGTGCCAGAAGGAAAGCTCCCTAGCTAGTCTTCCTGCTACCAGACCTAGGGCAGTAGGAGCACTGCAGCTCCCACTGGCCCACCTGTTGATCTTTGTAGCCTTCTGATCTCCCAGGTTCCCTATATGTTTGCATGTGCCTGTGGGATGGTGTTGGGGGGGTGTAGTTCTCCCTGTAGCTGGGTCCGTCCTCGAGCCAGTCCAGGTTTTCTTACCTCCTATGCTCTGTAGGCCTTGCAGGGCAGAGCCTTTTTGGAGCACAAGTCTCCAGGCCTTTGCTGTGGGTTTTGTGGATGCAGGGAGTACCAGAAAGGCTGAAAACCTTCCACCATCTTCACAGGCTGCCTGTCCTCCCTCTGTACCTCCTGGTTTGTATGTACCCACTCTGAGCAGTCTTTCCCTCTGCTTGGGGTCCACTCACAGAGCTGACTTGACTCTCTTTACCTCCAGTGCTTTACTGGCAGGTTTTGTGAGTAGATGTGGTAAGCAGGCAGAAGAATAGCAAACCTCCTGTCTGAGGCACTTCCTAGGGCCTCTCTATGCTTGGATGTCCCTTTAACTTTTTTAGGTTGAATTCTATTTTATCTGATAATATATCCCTTGCCCCCTATTTATTGGTCCATTGTTTGTAGGATTGTTTTCAAACCTTTTGCTTTCAGTCTGTGCTTTTCTTCTGTAGTTAAATATGTTTCCTGTAGACAGCAGAATGTTGTGTTTTGTTTTTAAATCAGCCTGCTATTCTGTGTCTTTTTATTGATGTGTTTAATCCATTTATATTTAGGGTTAATGTTCATATTTTTACATCTGTATTTTCCATTTTGTTTGTCTTTTTGCGATTTTATTTCTTACCATATTGTGTTTTCTCTATTAATTTCTCTGTTGGTTTTGGCTTTAAGGCTTCTTGTAATTTTATATATATATATTGGGCTGGGGGTTTAGTTGTAATGAATTTCCAAGGTTTCTGTTTGCCTGAGAAGGTCCTTATTTTTCCTTCATAGAGGAAACAGTGCTTTGCAGTATAATATGGTCTTGGTTGATATTTGTTGCCTTAAGTATGTCACTCCATTCTCTTCTTGCCTGTATTGTTTCTTCAGATAATTCTGATGTCAGCCTGATTTTTTTCCTTTAAAGGTTATATGTTTGTTTGTTTGTTTTTTACCCTCATCAGTTTCATTAAGTTTTTCCTTATCTTGGACTCTTGGAAGCTTTACTATTATGTGTCTCTCTGTAGTTTTCCTTTTGCTGTGGTACTTTTGTGTTCTTCTAGCTTCCTGTGTGTCTATTTTCATATCCTTCATGCTTGGAAAGTTCTCTTCGATTATCTCCTTGAATAATTTCTGAATTTCTTTGTTTCTTTCCCCACCTTCTGGGATTCCTATAACACATATTTCCTCTCTTCATGGTGCCTGATAGTTATCAAAGCGTTTCTTCATTTTTTTTTTATTTGTTTCTCACTGTCCATTTTATCTTGTTCTTTTTATATCAGTTGTACTGGTTCATTCTTTTCTTCCATTTCATCGATTCTGTCTTTTTAGAGTTCTGTGAGCCAGCAGGGGCTTCCCTGAGACTGGTTGCCACCCTTGTTTGGGGCCCTCTCTGCCTTTACATAGTTCCAGAGGGGATAATAGGTTGGGTGCCAGTCTTGCCTTGCAGACAAGCCTGAGCTTTTCTGGGACTAGCTGCTCACCTTTGATTACAGAACATTCCCTCTACCTTTACTCAGTTCCAGAGGAGGGCACAGGGTCTCCTGTCTCCAACAGTCTTGCAAGCAGACCTGTACTTACCTGGAACTAGCTGCTCAAATTTGTTTGCAGAACTTTCCTTCTGCTTTCACTTAGTTCCAGAAACAGGGCACAGGGTTGCTGGCCTCTAACAACCTTGCAGCTAGGCCTGTAATTTCCTGAGACTAGCTGCTCACATTTATTTGCAGTGCCTTGCCTCTGCCTTCAATCAGTTCTGAATGGGAGGTGCAAAGTGCCAGCCAACAAAATTCTTTCTGTCTAACAATTTCCTCAATATGGAACTTTTATAGGAAGTAGGCTTTACAAATCAAATAACAAAGATTAATGGAGAAGTAAATTTAAAATGGTTGTTTATGTGTTCAATAATTCATTATGGGAGCATTCTGAAGTCTCAGAATGTAATATAATCATTAGAGAGGTCATATGCTGTCTGAATATCAGTTCTAAGATGCCAGTAATGTTTACATACAATGCTTTCAAATTTTACTCTCCTAAACTAAAGCTGCAGTTATCCATAATATTATTAAACTTATTGATTACTTTTCTTGTTTGTATAAATTGAATTGTAAGTGGAGAACCCTAGTGTCCTAGTTTTTGATTAGTGAGCACAGCTGCTATCTGAAGAGCTCATAGGTGGTCACAAATCTACAGCCTTGCCTCATGGCTGATGTTTTTTAACCAAACCCCAGGTTCTATTGCACACATTAAAGATGTTGCTCAGCTCACTTGTATAAATAATTTCTTTACTCATGAAAAAAAAATACTTATCCTATGAGATAACATCAGTATTCTCATTTTACACATGAACAAACCAAGGCTCAAAAAGAAGGAAACACTTTGTTCAGGTTAGAATTCAACCCAGCAGTAACAGATGCAGTAGAAAAGAGGATAAGTTTAGAAATAAAATTGACCCTAATTCTCTTTCTAATTAATATGCTTTAAAAAATGTTCTGGTTTCTCATGTAAGCTGAATCAATATTCTGCTTTTATTTACCAAATGCAATAAGTAAAAGTGATATAAATCATGAGTATGCATAAACCTCTTTTCTTGTCTAGAGCACACTTCTGTTTATTCTCCTTACAATCTGCTTCAACTCCTTGAAAGCAATTTTAAATGGCTTTATAGTCTATCCCTCTAGATGGGATCCTTAATATTTTTCAGTGAGTAGTGTTTGAGAGGTTGTACTCCTCATGACTAGAGTTCAGCTTTACAATAAAGATCTATTATAGGGCCTGGAAAATTTAACCAGACAGAATGGATAAGAGACAGTCTTTACTTTCTTTCTTTCTCTTACTTTCAAGGAAAGGTGCAAGCTCTTTCTGCCTTTATTTTTTAAAGATTTTTTATTTATTAATGCATACAGAACTGAGGGACAGGACAGGGGTTCAGGGGTGGTGAGAGAATTCACCAGAGACAGATTGGGAGCAGAACAGGCAAATCGACAAAGTACAATGCTGAGGGGAGCTGTGGGTGAGACAAGAGAAGTCTGCTGTACCAGTGGATCACCTCCACAGCTGGGAACTGAAGTTGCACTGAAGTGGCTGCAACTGGCTTGCAGGGATGTGTCCTAACCCTCTGCGCCACCAGGAATGGTCCAGAGACAGTCTCTTCAAGGATATATTGCAGCTTATACCCTGCTAGGCAAGAATGTCATGTTTCTCTTTCTCAGAGTTTTTGAAATAAACAGCTGACACTAGCTGTGACTGTGTGTGTGTGTGTATGTTTGTGTATATGTGTGTATGTATAGAAATTAGCATTATTTCCTCCACTGAAATTTTATGTCTAGAATTATTGGAGAATTTTTTAGCAATATTTTATTTTTGCATCATTTTGTGCCTTTTTCCATCTCAGCTGTAATCCCTGTGGGTTTCCCATCATCATATCACCTGTATGCCATCACCATAGTCCAGTGCACTTCCCCCCTCTCTGTTTTTGATACCCTTACCCACTCCACCCCTGTGAAATGTCTCTGATATATAGTTGTGCATAGTTATTATTACTTTTCCCTATGGTCCTTTTTGCTCCTGCTATGAGTGAAACCATCCAGTGTTTATCTTTTGCTTTCTGGATTATTTCACTGAGCATGGTCTCTTCCTGCTCCATCCATGATGCTGCAAAAGGCATGAATTTATAATTTTTGATTCCTGAGTAATATTCCATTGTGTATATGTACTACATCTTTTTAATCTAGTCATCTACTTTGGGCATTTCTTTCCTATTGTAAATAAAGCAACAATAAACATGGGGGTGCAGATGTCTTTTTGAATCATTGTTTTTGTGTCTTTTGTGTAGATAGCTAGGAGTGGGATTGCTGGGTCATATGGAAGCTCCATTTTTAGCAGTTTGAAAAACCTATTGGAGAATATTTTTAATGTAAGGTGAGTATAATCTTTTTTAACTTGTTATTATATAAATCCATAAAATATTTATGTAATATAGACAAATACATACTTATATAATCACCTTTTCAACTAAATTGCAAACTTCTTTTTTTTTTCATTTTTACTCTGTTACATTTGTTTCTCTCTCTTCCCACGCCCCCCCCCCGTACCCCACCCCCATCCCTTATGCTCCTGCTATGAGTGAAACCATCTGGTATTTTTCTTTTTCTTTCTGGCTTAATCACTAAGCTTCCATATGACCAAGCAATTCCACTCTTATGTATCTACCCAAAGGACAGAAAAACATGAATTCAGGAGTACAATCATTATAAGAAAATAAAATGTTCAGAGAGTCTGTAGGGTGTTTTTAGAATGAAACCTCTGTTTTTTTTTAAAATGCTTTTCCTGAATTTTACTAAACATTACTATTGTGTGTGTGTTTTTGTAGGGACTGTTAACATTTGAACATACCAAACAAAACAGGCAAACTCTTGAACCATCTTTACCACCACATTGTACCACAAAGAAATACAACTCTATGTGGATTCCAAAGAGGCTAAAAAGAAAAAGTTCATTAAACCTCAGGTTGCCCACTAAACGTGATGACAGCCACAGTTGCAGTGGAAATACACAAAAAATGGAGAATTCCTCTAAAGAAGAGAAGCAGCAGCCTAAGCAAGATAGCAAGGAGCAAGGAAATGCTGATTTTGAAGAATGGATAAACTCTGAGAGTGATCTTGAACAGATGAACCTTAAGAATGACAACAGTTTCCACCCTGGAGACATTCAGCTAAAAAAAAAGGAGATTCCATTTAAGTCACACCGGCAGCTCTGTAGATCACCTTGTCTAGATCGTCCAAGTTTCTCCCAGAGCAGCATTGTAAGGGATGGGAAGCTTGACCTGGAAAAGCAATACCAAGCTAAGATGGATTTTGCTCTAAAGCTGGGTTATTCAGAGGAACAGATTCAATCAGTGCTGAACAAACTGGGCCCAGAATCACTTATTAATGATGTATTGGCAGAGCTTGTCAGACTTGGGAGCAAAGGTGATTCAGAAGGGCAAGTCAACATGAATCTGTTTGTGCCTCAGTGGCCCAGCTCAAGAGAGATTGAAAGCCCTGAGATGTTTCTTGAAAATGAAATAGATGACTGTGACAATTTAAGGCCAATTGTCATTGATGGAAGTAATGTGGCAATGAGGTAAGACTAGAAGATATATTCTCTCCTTTTTAAAATCTGTCTTAAACTCATAGAAATTGTCGTGTTTTTGTTTGTTTGTTTGTTTTTGTTTTTTTGCAAAGAGTAGGGAGTCCCTTGGTTGTCTTTGGATTGTTATTCTCTAGGACAACAGAAGCTAAACTTATCTTGCTCTGTTTTTTCTCTTTCCTTGGAATTGTTACCAATGTGTTTTCAGGTGTTCTAAAAGTAGCCTCAATGATGCTTCCGAGCAGACAAAACCTGTGTTCAACTTGGGGCTCACACTCCCACTCCTACATGACTTGGCCAGTAATTCTGAAATAGTGAATTTATAATGTAACTTGAAGACTTACTTGGATCTGAAAGTATTCACAATTGCAATGTACCAAATTTAGATCCCTTTTGTCTAATTTTTGATATGGATTCTCTCTTCTGCCATTTGATTTCACCTCTCACACTGCATTTAATCAGTCTCATTAACAATACCCTATAAATTAAGCTGACTTCTACACCCATTTCTTGTGCTCATGTCATTTCCCAACCCAGGAGTGACCTTCTCTTATCCTAACACCATTCAAAAGAGGTGTTATCCTAACACCTCTACAAATACCATCTTTATTTTTCTGATCCCAGTGATTGTCTTAAGTTACAGTACCTACAGTAGGCTGAATAATAGCCCCTAAAGATGTCCACATCCAAAGCCCTTGAACCTGTAAATATGCTATTTTACATAGTAAAAGGGACTTTGAAATTTTAATTAAGCTAAGGATCTTGAGATAAAGGAGGTTTTCCCAAATTATTAAGGTGGGAACAGTATAATATCAATGGCCCTCATAAAAGGAAAAAAAAAAAGCAACAGGATCAGAGTAATAGATGTGATGCCAAAAACAAGAGGTTATGATGATTTAAGAAAAAAGTTTATGGTCCAAAGAATATGTGTGACCTCTAGAAACTGAATAAGGCAAGGAAACAGATTCTCCTTTGAAACATGCAGAAATAATATAACCTTGCCAAAACTTTTATTTTAGTTTCTGACTTCCTGAACTATGACAGAATAAATTGGTTTGTTTTAAGTTACTAAATGTGTGACAGTAACTTGTTATAACAAAAATAGGGAAGTAATAGAGACCAAGTCTACCTTCACACTTATTTGCTCCTCACTCCCTTAAAATGTGTTTTTTACAGCAGAAAGTCTTAGGAATCCTTTCTATTTCTCAAATGCATTGTCATCCCGCTTTGATTAAAATTCCCTGTGATCATCTGCCTGGGTCTTACTGAATCCACCAAAGTTTGATGGAATTCTTAGACTGTACACAGTCAAAAAAGTAAAAAGTCTTAGACAGGCGAGTTTTTATTTAACTTTCCCATTGCTTTGAGGGCAAGGACCTTGTTTTATGCCTTATTTTTCCCCACAGCAGGTACCACAGTATTGGTTACTTCCACAGAGATACAAAAGAGTAAGAATGGGAATAAATATTATGAACCATAACATTGTTCTCTGCATGAGTTGAACATTTTAATACATAATTTTGTTTAATCCTCATAGCAACTTTATTTTACAGAAAATTAGAGTTAAACAAGATTAAGAGACTTCCTTGAGGTTGCTTTCAGCAAAGTGAGGATTTTAACTTAAATATTCTGGCTTCAAATGACTGAAATGACTAATATTTATGAATACTGAATAATGCTCAATAATTTTGCATGTGCAATTTAACCATGTTTTTAAATGGGTAATTTAACCATCAAGAAGGTTCTAATTAGGTGCATGTTTGCAGGTTTGGAGACTCAGGTTCAGAGAGATTAAATAACTGCCAAGTTTACACATATAAAAATGACAAACATATTAAAATCTGAATCTTACTCCACTACTCCTTCAACAATGTCATTAACCATTATGTTGTTATTAGTGTTAAGAATATTTGGCATCTTTTTGAGTAATAGACTTCTTTCTTTCAAGGAACACTTTCAAAGTTCCTTTTATAAAATTCATTTTTTATTTATAGACTTGCCTTTTCAAACCTTTTAAATCATGGTATTACAGGCATTTTATATCTCCTATTTTAATAGAATGAAAAAAGAAGCAATAACAAGAAGTTTAACTAACCTACATACAATGTAAAGGCAATCAGAATGATTCAATCCGACAGAGAAAGCAGAGGGTGAAAATTGTGATCCAAGAGGCAAATGTAACTCTGTTTCCTTCCTAATGATACAAGGATCCCCTGCTTGAGTCCTGCTAACAAGCACTTTTGGTAGTGTTCCAACATTTTCATACTTCTATTATTGGGTCTGCCAGATGGACAACTGCCTCCATGGGTTGCCTATATCCTTTAAGTGGAGACAATCTGCTTTTTCCCTTGCCTTTGCCATGACAAGTCTCCATTTATCCTGTGTAAGCAGTGTACTCAACATAGACTGTATATCTGCCCAAGTGGGTGGATGGGAGGCAAACGCAGATGCAAATAATTCCACCATCTTTTTAGGGTTTTGTATGTACAAAGGGAAATAATTTTTATAATTGAGGATATCTGCAGGGGGGTAAAGGGACTATAAGAGCAGCAGGCTGATGCACTTGTTCATTTAATGTTCCCAGTGGGAATTGGCAAAGGGGAAACTGTCTTGCCCCAGACCCGTTTCCTTAACCATAATGGGGCCTCCTCTGCTGAAGGGCAGTGAAGCTTCAGGAGCTCTCATAACCTCCTCAGGAGGGACAATGGCCACACAGAAGGGATTTTTTGTCAGTGGGTTTAAGGCTGCTATTGTGAGACTGCCCTCCTCTTCCTGTGCCTCTCTATTACCACTATCTGGTAAAGGAGATGGCTGATTGACTGTTCTCTTCTGTTTCTTTTGAATCACATTTCTGGAGACTTACTTCTATTCTCTCCTTTAGTTTCTACATCTACTTTTTCAGTTTTTCAAAAGAACATTTGATCTTTAAAAGGTTTTCCAATTCTGATATTTAGAGGGCTACCTCCAATTTCTGTATTTGATCTTGCAATTTCTTCTTCCTTTTTGACCAAACATTATGCATACCAACATAACCAAGAGATCTCCTAAAATCACAAGTCCAAGATTTATGAAGAGATTTCCACTATACACCCATATAATCCCCAGCAGTAAAGACATTAACTTCTTGATAACAGACTTTACAAAATTTCTCAAGTCAAAACCTATGATTGAAAAAGTAGAAACACCAAGGAGTGGAGGAGAAGCAGAGCCACCCAAACTGACAGTTGAACCCATGATTACGACACAAGGAAAAACAAATCCAAATCAATTACCACCAGGTGTCTTGAATTACTTTGTGCTTTAAAGCAACCAATGTGAGTTGAGGATCCTTGGCTAGGTCAACCACAGGTGCCCTGTCCTGCCATGGTTTCCAACTGATACCAAGTGGAGAGGACCCTAAACTGGCCAAGGTGCCCCTGCCCAAATACTTTACTATATGGGTTCTTTACCCATGTACAAAATTGCAAGATTGCTCAGGCTTAGGAAATAACAACAAAGGGATTTATTTAACAGATGGGAAAAAACAAGAGCTACTGAGGTCAATAATGGCCATTTACTTTACCCAAAGTCGTATTCATTACTCTCCTGCACAAATACTTATGATGGTTTCTTTCAGCCATTGATATGCAGCTCCTCTCCCAAACAATAGGCCATGTGTCTAAGATGGCATCTTCCTGCCTCTGCTGACCTGGGGCACACAGCAGCCAGACCCCAGGCCAGGTTCCAACTCACAAAGACAACAAAAGAGACACTACAGGATATGCTTCTGGAGCTGCAAGGCACTCCAACACAGCAGCAGATGAGCAATACTCAGGAGAGCAGCCACAAGATCAAATGACCCAACAAATGGCCTTACTCGTGCAGCTAAGCCATGCTGTAACTACAGCAAACCAGGAACCATTTCAGTCACTTGGCTACTTGCAAAGCCTCTTTCTCTCCAAGGAAGGCCTCCACCTTCAGAAATCCTCAGCAACCTTCTGCCAGATCTTGTGGTCAGGGGCTGAAAACACTGATTACCTAAATGCTGAAGGAACCCAAACCTTCTCTCTCTCTCTCTCTCTCTCTCTCTCTCTCTCTCTCTCTCTCTCTCTCTCTCTC